GGAAAAAAGTAACGTTTTTACTGTGAAAACCACAAATATGTGTGATGAACTGTTTTTAAAACTTAAACTTCAAATAAAAATTGTAAACTTCAAAACATATGCAAATTTTTAACAAAGAACATAGTAATTTACCTCTATTTACATCAAAATGCAGGCAATGGCCCAGGTGTTCTTTGTAAAATTATTTACAAAACACTGTATAGTCTCACAAATGTCACTTTTTATTTATGCCACTACAAAAAAACATGATGTAAATGATGCATGATGTAAAACATGATGTAAAAAACTTGTGTAGATCCTCCTCTATGTTAGTCCATGTGTAATTTTTCCATAATTCTTTGTTTTTTGCAGCATTTTTGTTAGTGTAACTGCAGATTGTGCTGACAGTGTCTATGGCAAAAAAAAAAAAAAAAAAAAAACTGAAAATGCCTCAACATGAACCCCTGGTGGTCTCTGAGGGTGAAACCTGCTAACTGCTGCAGCTCTGTCAGCTTCAGTCTCCCATGCAGAGCTCGGAGCGCATGTGTGGCTCTGCACCCTTAGCAGCGTTGCTAACTCCTCAGTAAGGAAAGCCTGCTTCATGTCAGAGTCTCTAAACTCCAGAAGAAGTCGATAAAAGTCACTTTCTTTCTAAAAAAAAGTCGTTAGGGGGTCTGAAAAGTCATTGAATCTAACAACAAAGTCGCTAGGTTTGCAACTACGTGTCCCAGACTGCATCCCTGCTGAGAGTCCCTCCCTCCCTTCTCATATTGCAGGAAGAACGTAAGTTCCCGCCCCTTGTCAATCAGTCACCATATAATTTTGGATTGGTTGTTGTGGTGAAGTTTTCCACCAATAGGAGAGATGTTGTGGTGTGTATTTTTTTTCCTTTGGCAAGCCTTTTCCGCCTGTAAGACCTGTCGCTAATGTCTGCATGCTATGTTTTCCTGTCTCATACAGCGCGATCGAGCGCCGAACGTGATCAAAATAAGCAGAAAACAAGTATCGCGGACATAATTTATCATAACTCTGGTTTTATTTGGCCTATCAACACAATTTAAAAACTGGTATATAGGTTGAGGTCCTCACTTTTGAGATAAATTGAAACGGAGAGTCAACGAGGCTCCGTCTTGCAGCTACATCCGGTTAAATATGTCATGTGACTTGAACGCACACACACACACACACACAGACACACACACACACGCACACACACACACTCAGAGTCTGGTTTGTAGCACCTGCAAAAACATGCTATTTACATATTTGACAAGAATGCAGAGGCTCCTTTTGCCCCTGAAAAAAATCAAATTTCAAACACAACTTGACTGGTCATTTCTCCAAAAGACAACCATGAAGCTCCATCCAAACCTGAAGCAGGCAGTTGGTGCATGTGTACAGTAACCTGAGGGGAGTGAGGTGACTGCTTCTGAGGAGAACATGAGCAGTGAAGATTTACCTTAGAGCTAGAACAGAGACGTGCACATGATTATACAGGGGCAGGGGCTCAAGTTTTTTCCAGTCGTTTATACAATTTGGAAATTAATGTGAAATTAAAAAACAAAGTATTAATAGAAAGGTAATGACTGTCCTGTGTAGGTGACAGTGATATCCAATAGGCTAGGCACTCACGAGGCTGGCTGTGGCAAGT